AAATCAAAGGAGGATTTTATCCTCTTGCAAAAATTTTTCCCTATAAAATTTATAATTCTTTCAAAAAAATCTTGATTAATCATAACTTATTTTTTTAGATCAATTAATTTCTGCTTCAGGTTACCAACTGATTATAAAAGCTGATTTTCTATTTAGAAACTTTAACCATCACTCTAAATACTTTAGATCATAAACTCTTTTTAAGCAATTAGCAGATATTATTTTAGAAGATAATGTTTAATGACTTCTTAAATCAGAATTTAGATTAGTTTTCCCTTTATCCTAATATAGATTTGTAATTAACGAATCTCATTTAAATGATCATAAAAAGGAATTTATTGTCTCATAGAATTCTACAACTAACAACTCTTTATTTGGTCAAATCATCAACAAAAACCTGGCTGATAATCAATTTATTTGTCAACATTATATATATTCTACAAACAATGATAATATCAGCAATTCTTTAAATGTACTAGTTGCAATCTTTTCTCTACCAACATTCATTTTGACACTTGTACATTTGCAATTCCTGCAAATAGAGTTTTCAAGTTGATATATTTCAAAAGCAATCTTACATTCTTAAAAATCAACTACAACAGTCATTTGATAAAATCTTAAGGGTGGCCTATCACTCTTACTTTACCTCCTATTTTGAGCAACAACTTCTTGTCTCACTATTAACCAATCTATTTGACATAATTAAAGATGATCCTCATAATTATTTTCAAATTTCAATTGAATTGCAATTTAATTGCACCATAAGGAAATTTAATTACACCACAAGTTGCAACTCAATTGCGCCATTTTTTTTAATTGCGGTGACCATCTTTAGACATAATGTTTTTCTCTTTCTCAACATTAATTGAACTTAAATCTTTATAAACAACACTCGCTAATAATACATTTCTGATATTTTACACTGATAGTTCTTTGATTTCTCTTAAAACAGAATCATGCAAAATGGGACTGAGATGGATTTATATTAATACTCTGAATAGTTCAGTTTGGTCCAAATTATAGGCCAATTCGAAACTGAACTGAAAATTTTAGTTCAGTTCAGTTCAGATTAAAAATCTTAAAAATGCTAATCTGAAATCGAACTGAACCATAAACTAGTAAAAATCTGAACTGAACTGAAAATTTCAGATTAATCTGAAATTTTAGATCATTTGGAACAATAACTTCAATCGTTTCAAATGAACGATTTTTTATCGTTCGTTTAGAATGATAATTTGTTTATTCTAATCGAACAATTTTTTATCGTTCGTTTGAAATGATAATTTGATTGTTTTAATTGAATGATTTTTTTATTGTTCATTTGAAATGATATTTTGATCGTTCCAATTGAACAATTCTTTTATCGTTTATTTAGAACAATAATTTGATCATTCCAATTGAACGATTTTTTTATCGTTCGATTAGAACAATTCTTTTATCATTTGTTTAGAACGATAATTTTATCGTTCTAATCGAATGATTTTCTTATTGTTTAATTGGAACAATAATTTCATTGTTCTAATCAAATAATTCTTTTATCATTCATTTAGAACGATAATTTGATCATTCTAATCGAACGATTTTCTTATAGTTCATTTAAAATGATAATTTCATTGTTTTAAATGATCTGAAATTTCAGATTAATCTGAAATTTTCAGTTCAGTTCAGATTTTTTTTAGTTCAGATTAGATTTATAATTCGAAAAAAATCCAAATTGAATTGAAAATTTTTGGATTGAATTTTTGCAATCTGAAACTGAACTGAAGTTGATCTGAACTGAAAAATTTTTAGATTAATCCAAACTGTTCAGAGCTTTAATTTGTATTGATTTATCTAATAACCATCACTCATTCAAGGCCTCACTGATAAACTGGCCTTCGTCAACATATACTGAAATGTTTGCTTTCTTCACTGCTCTGTTAGTATCACCGCAATCTTCTTCTGTCAACATTTTTTTAGACAATCAGGTCACAATCCATAGTTTTTCTAAATATGTTTTGAACAACAATCTTTCGTCCAGAAAATTTGAAAAGATACCCAATCATTCTATCTGATATCTTATAAGATATACAGTAGATGCATTGAATCTTAATATACACCTTCACAAGGTCAATGATATTGCTGACCAATTGACCAAAGCTAAATGTAATGCTCATTTTCTTATTGCAGTATTGAACAACATTCCCTTATCTAACCTTGTCTTTACTTTTAATAACGTATCTATTAAAATATCTATTTGAGGTTTCTTCAAACAATTTTTTTCTGGTAAGACTTTTTGCAACTTTCTTGACTTGAACAGAAATGATTACATCAGACGTCTCACTAAAAACCACTCTATCAGCTAGCCTACCATTTGGTTCTTATTCTTCCTTCACTTACTACCTCATTTGCCTCTTGTAAACTCAAGACCTTCATTATAAAAAATTTTGTTAATAAACTACCAACCCTATTAAGACTATTTATATTACAGCCTGATTTGTATGAATATTAGTGTTGTGTAGGTTGTAGACTAAGTACAGAAACATCTGCATATCTCTGGACCTACCCTACCTATGCTATAAGATTACAAAATATTATCTAAACAACTAAAGATGATTTAATTTATCGTTTCATAGAATTAAATATCTCTAAACTCACTGAATTTCTTTCAGAATTACTAGACATTCTAAATAACATCTTTGCCACCCCCTCATTTAGAACAGATGGTTACATCAATATTATTCGCTTTCTTATTCCTTCTTCTTTAATAGACATAGTTTACAAAATCACCAGGAATAAGGGTCAATGTTTCTCAATCATCACTCAAACTGTAATAGTTTTTCAACAAAAATTATTCAAAGATATTTGAAAATACCGTTGTAATCTAATGATAGCAAAAGAACATTTATTAGGTATCACAATCAAAGATAAGACTAAATGAGATGCCAGTTCATTCTTGAAATATGAAGAGATATCAAGTCCTATATATAATTAGAAATCTTAAATATACATGATGAATTAATTCAGCTACACCTTTATGGATTTTTAAATAGACACTGACTTTTTCTTTTTCTTCTCTTGTTGATAGCAATTTTTATTAGGTATAAACTTAGTGGACTTGTTAAAGAAGAAAGATGATGATCAGTCAATTCAAACAGGTTTGTAATATAACTATAGGGAATAGCTAGTACTTAGTCTAGATTTATTTGATTTACTTTGTATTTCTTTTATATAAATTTAATAAAATTACTAGTAGTACCACATCATTAAAAAAAAAGTATATATAAAAAGACAATAATCGGTCGATTTAAACAGGTTTGTAATATAATTATAGGGAATAGCTAGTACTTAGTCTAGATTACTTTATATCTCTTTTATATAAATTTAATAAAATTACTGGCAGTGCTATATCATTAAAAAAAAAGTATATATAAAAAAAAACTCTTTCTCCTTTCACCCTGAATTTCTAAAATTTTAGAAATTTACTGAGAAAATAAAAATTGTTTTGCTCAAAAACTTTATTTAAAATTTACAACTCTGTTAGCTAGTTCTTTAGCTCACTTTTTACAAACAGTTTAAAACACTTAAAAGAGTTTAGTTATTTGATAACTTTTACAAAAATGGTTAGAAAATTCCAAAAAACTTCAGTTAACAAAACTAACAAATATCGCTACGACTCGTTCAAAGCTAAGCAACCTAAGGCTAATGGCTTTTCTTGTCTCAGAGAAAAGCTCAACCTATCCTTGATCACTAACAAGGATATTGTTAACAATACTTACGTCAAATAGTTTAACCTACCACCTAAAGTTCTCGACACTCAAGAATATGTTCTTATCAAAGACAATACAAATATGAAAACTGAAACTTCTAACTTTATTGTTATTTCTCATCCTTCTCCTTTTGCTTGCACTGCTTCTATTAACAAAAATACTAAGAAACTCTCCACTCTAAATTATCCACACAATCAACAATACGTTTATGCAGAATGATGTATTCAGAAGGCTGAATGTACATTGTGTAAATTTTATGCATTCTGCAATTATCTATTTTGATAATGCAGAAATCATGCAAGCTGCACTTTCTATCCAACTTCCTGAATTAGATATTGAAAAATTTATAGACTACACTGCGCATAAGGATAACATGTAATTCTAAAATAGAACTCTGTGTGTTACTGATATTCACCTCAGCCTTAAAAAAGAAATGATTACTTCAATCTTTTCCAAATATGGTACTATTACAAATATTCGCATGCAAACCAGAGACCTATGGCAACAGGCCAGATCAGTTTTTCATTGAATCAATAAGAGTCAAAGACTGTTATTATAAAGTATTTTCGATATATAAGTTAGTTTTTTATAATATTAAAAATACTTTCGCATCAATTTGAGTTAAAAAAACATAATGTTAAATCAAGAAGGTAACTGGAATGAAAGCTTATATTTTACAAATAGTACTTTTTACTTTTTCTCTAATATAGTCATACAGTAATAATTAATAATATATATCTTCTAACTGACAAAGATTTCTTATAGATAGGTATTCTGTAAGAAATTTTCAGTATCATTACCTTACAAGTCCTTTTATAAATACACAATATGTAATAAAAAACAGAACAATTTATTTTTGATACAAAGTAATATCTTTAGGATATTATCTAACACCAGTTAAACTCACACAAAAAAATTCTAAAGATTGTATTCAATATCAAATATCTGATAACTATAGTATTGAAACTGAAGTTTCAGAAGTAAAAATTTGTTATAAAATAAAGTATCAGCTAAATGGAAAAGTGAAATTTATAATAGTATAAAAGGAAGATAAAGTAGAATATAGCATATATAATAAATGCTCTGCAACTAGTGTTATTAATACATTTTTAAAGGTATTAATGATTTTTTTTGTTATTTTATTATTAATAAAAAAAAAGTAATTTAATAAATTATACAGAAAATCAATCGTTCAAATTCAAGCTTATCTGGTACATATATTTTTAATTTTGATATTAGACAATTGCATGAATGTCAGTTGGGAATAGATACTTCTGTAATATTAGTTAATAAAAAAATGACTTCTAAAAACAATTCAAACTATATCAGAACAAAATAAAAAATTTGCATTTTTAGGTAAAGAATCTGAAAAAGCAATTGGATCTTTGATTAAGAAACATCAGATGATTACTAAAACAGGTTAACTAATTGTTCATATTGTAAAATTGAATTAGAATTTAATAGAGAAACTATCTTTTTAACTTATAAGCCATCTAATAAAGAAAGTAAAATTACTAAAATAGATACTATTATTAGAGTTTGTGATGAATCATTATTAGCACGTGATGAATATCAACAACTTGCTACAGTTAAAATATCTCTTACATGTGAATATCTAATAGCTAATCATAGAATTGAAATCACTAATCTTATTAATGAAGATATAAAAATTGGAACATTTAATATTGATAAAAATGAAAATTTATCTAATAATTTAGAAGAATTTGATAATGATATAATAGTTAATAAAAAAGAAATTGGAAATGATGCATATAAATCAATTTATACAATGTTACAGACTTTAATTCCAATTTGAAAACAAAGTTCTTTCGCAATTATTAAATCTGATAATATACTTAAACTTAAACTTAGTGGTAATAGTTGTATATAGGTCATAAATAAAGTCATGTAATAGTAATATTTTGTCTTTTAAATGAAAGTGAAGAATTTTTAAAACCAGAACATCAATACTGGTAATTTATAAATTAATTAACTAATTAATTAATTGAATTAAATTTTAATAATTTTCTTATATTATATAGTATTTGTCTTTATGTTAATCAAGAAAAATATGAGGATCTTGTTAAAATAGGACAGATATTTCAGTATCAACTTTTTAACCTTCAAAATAATGGAATATATAATAAAGATGGAATTCATTAGCCAATAAAATTATTTTTTTCAGGTGATTAGAAATTTATGTATATAATAATAGGATTAAATGCTTCTAATTTCAAGTATTTTTGTTTATATTATAATTGTTAATCTGATATAAAATGGCATATGAATCAAAACCATAAAAATTTAGAAAATAATACTTGTAAGATTTTTTTTATTTTATTTTTATTATTAATTATTTAATTATATTTAAATTTTTTAATTTAATAGGTAAAAATAAAAAACTAGCAATATTTCTTATGATTAATTAAGAAAATTACATTTCTGATGAATTATACTTATTTTTACACATTGTAGATGTTTTATTAAAATATCTTTTTAATGATTTAATTAAAAAAAAAGAATTTGAAAAAAAAATTAAATTAGAAATTAAATAAGTAATGCAGAATATTAAAGTTCATTTTGAGTTTTTTAAATCTAGATCTATTAGTGGAAAATAGAATTGAACTTCTTTAATAGAACCTGATAAAAAAAAAGTATTAGAATATTTTTCAGTTTTCAATTTATTTCTGGTATTTATGGACAACAAATTGAAAAATTATGGAAAGAATTTTTTTGACTTTATAAAATTTTACGAAAATCATTTCTTTCAGATCAAAAAATTGATAAATTTGAAATTGACACTAAAAATTAGATTTGCACTTTTTATTGTGCAACTGAAGGACGTCTTAATTTAATATCGCAAATACCTGAATTATACTGCAAGCAAGATGTAACACCATATATACATTTTTTTGCATAATATATTCATTAATTTATGCGTCAATTAAAAATAAGAAATTTATTATTATGATTTTTTTTTACTTCTAGTATTGAAAAAAAATATAATCAGATAATTTGTAAATTTTATTAAAAAAATTATTTATTTTTATTAATTATTAATATACTAAATAAATTTTAATTTAGGTGCGATTGTTTTTTGGTGGTATTACTATAGGTAAAGGAATTAAAAAAAAATCAGTAGTATTTGATATTATGTTTTTTGAAAACTGGCAATTATTTTACTTAATTAATGAAACTCCCAAAGAAATTAATACTAGAAATATTAATTCTAATGAAAAGAAAATTAAATTACATATTAAAAATATATAATAAATATATTGTTTTTTGCATTTAACATGATTTTATTAAAATTTATTTTTTTTTTTTTAATTAAATCTTTGATTTAATTGTTAAAGAGAAAAGCGTAGTAAAATAAATTTATATTGTATAGTTTTATATATAACAGGTATTACAGTATCATTTTTGGATTTTTTAAATCAATTTGTTACTTTATTTCTATAAATAAAATTATATGATTAAATTTTTAATAACCTTTTATAATTATAAATTTGTAAATAAAATTTAACCTTACTCATCAATAAATTCTCCTAAATCAGTTATAAATGTGCAAGTAACTGTATTACATTGAAATATTTGATTGTTTTTAACTAATCTTGTTTGTGTCCAACTGAAGGTAACTTCATAACTTTTCTCATAATTTACAAATAGTACATAACTGGTTGTCTTTGTTTTAGAATCTTGTCAGAGATTCTAATGTTCATAGTTTAAAATTTGTTTTAACCTATTTTCCCCTTCCTCACCTTTAAATGTATAACGATATTTTCGTAATGCAGAATTGTATCTAATTAAGGTTCACTCTGAAATAAGTAAATAAAGACATTCTCAGAAAAGATATTTACTGAAAGCCATTTAGATCCCACAGAATGTCTATTAAATCCAAGACGCTTTTAACAAAGATTATGAATGCATCTTGATAAGATATAAGTTGTTTAGAAGAAAGTTGAGTAAGTAAATGAAGGTCAGGTATGGTTTTATTATTTCGTTATCTTGTTCTTTCATGAGTCAAAAGTTGTTTTCGTAAATAAAAAGTCTTTTGGCAAAGATAACAAATAAACGCCATATCAATATTGGATTAAACGCGTTGGTATAGAACTGTGATTAAATTCAGTTAGATGTTTGACAATTTTTGATTGGCCGTCATGCATTCATATTTGATATCACAATATCACATTATTTATCACATCAGTGATAAAATCGATTGGAGTCAAATAAGCCCATATGGTGGATTTGTTGGAGGGGGAAGACGATGATCGGTCGATTCAAACGGGTTTGTAATATAACTACGGGGGATAGCTAGTACTTAGTCTAGATTTATTTGATTTACTATGTATTTCTTTTGTATAAATTTAATAAAGTTACTGGCAGTGCCACATCGTTAAATAAAAAAAATAAAAAAAGTATATATAAAACTTAGGTCTTTTTTTTTATCAAAAGCTTTGGGATTCACGTGAGCAAGTTTAAAATCTGAAAAGTTGATTATTTTCTTTTGAAGCCTTCAATATTTGTATTACGAAATGATTGCTTACGCAAATCGATTCAGCCAATCATAATCCTTGTTGATCGACCAGTGAAATCAAACTTCAGTCATGCTCCTTAAAGTGACATTTTCTTAAAAAATGTCTTCACCGCTAATAAATACCCCAAACGGACAATTTAACTTTGCAGCTAATTCGAGTCCAGACGTAATAGGAGAGCGATGTAATGTTATAGAGCGTAGAGCTAAAGCATATTTTACCAAGGTTGAAGTAGCTCAATGTGCAGAAAAGCAAGGGTCTGGTGAATCAAAAGATATGTCAAGAGCACAATGGTGTGCTTTTATAGCGGCTGTGGGAAATAACCTTGGGTTGTAAGTTGAATATTAAGTTTGGAAGGAATTGCTTGAACCTTTTTTTTCCAGTTCGATGGACTTGACTCACGTGATTATCTATAATTTAAAGACCACAGAGCACGATATGCACAGCACAATTACTTTATAATAGATTCTTTTTATTTCATCCTACAAAAGACTTTGCATCTACAAAGCAAAAAACTGTAACATCGCTTATTTTTTTTTTTTTTTTTTGTTTCCTTTTATTTTCATTTTGGTTGGGTGTTTAATGATTATATCATTGAAATAGGATTTATGTATTACATGTTTATTTGTTTCTACAAAAATTGAGGAAACTTATAAAAAACTCAAAGACATTTTGGTAGCAGCATATCAAGTTAAACACCCTGAGGGAACTGAAATCAATGCAGAGAGTCAGGTACATTTAAAAGGAAATCCAGCAATTCATTTATATTTGAATGAGGGATTGAATTATGGTACTTTTTTTAATTAGGTGTTAGAAGATCAAAGGCGTCGCATTATTCAAAATGAACGCGCGATAGTCGAGACAATATGTTTCGATTTTCAATTCGTACTTCCTCATAAATTGTTGGTCAAATTCGTAAAGAAATTAAAAGGTAATCTTATTGATTTTTATTTTATTTTATTTTATTTTTTTTAATCTTTATATTGTGAATACAGGTGATAAATATTTATATCTTAAGGCATATAATATCGTCAATGAATGGTAAAATGAATTTATATATTAGAAATTTGTATATATATTTATTTTTCTTAAGGTTAACAGTAGTGAATGACTAAAAAAAAAAAAAAATGTTCAAGTTATAAAACTACGGTATGTCTTAGGTTTCCGCCTGCCACCATGGCAGCGGCTTCGATTTTTCTCGCTGCGAAATTATTGCATCGAGAAAATTTTCCGTCCATAGTTCACAATATACCTTGGTACAAGTTATTTTTGGCTAGAATAGACGATATTGAAGGTAAATAAATCAGAATAGTTTTTATTATCGGGGCAAATCAAATATTTATTATCATTCATTGTTTATGTTATTATAGAAATATGTTGCCTCATTTTGGATCACTTCATATTAGAATCATCATCAAACCCCGATGACCCTGCTAATGAAGAATTTACGCAATTGAAATTAGCTATAAGTCAGCAAGCTAAAGAAAGAGATGCATCAATGGAAGATGTGATCATGAATAGCATGGCTATGGAATCTAGTAAGAAATTTATAATATATATTCTTTTTTTGAATCGGCTAGAACATGTCTTTAAAAGAATCAATTTTTTTTTTTATCAGATGAAGATTCCTTTCAGATGATCAATGGGGAATCAAAAGATCATACTGTCCGGTATATGTTTGCAACAATACCGGAAATACATTTTGTTTGAATATCTATTTCTAACTAATAAAATCGAACGAAGAAACGACCATTTCGAAAAGATGAACGTGGTTAATTGTGAGAATGGTAAATTATATAATTTTTTTTTCTACTATTATTTATAATATTGATAAAGATTTTTATTATTATTATTATTATTATTTTATTTTATTTGTAGGGCATATAAATATATGAAATAAGTATTATTATAATATAATTAATTGATACGAAGAAAGTAAGAGAGGGTATATTTTATATATATGATCCTCTCTTTATTTTGTAAATAAAATTTAGAATGAATAAATAATAATATATAAAATGATTATCTTGTATATATTCAAACAAACATTTTTAATTTATTTAATAGTCAAATACAAAGATACTCATTCTGAACCAGTCTTAACGTGTTTTAAAATAATCTAAAAGTACGTTCCTAGCTTCAGAATCTTCACCATAATCTTTGACAACTACGCAAGAACAAGCTACTACTTTACGAGGGTTACCTTCTCTATCGATTTTACATAATCCAGCCCATTCTCCTAATTTTTTTGCATCACTTACTTTTATTAATTGGATATTATGTTCACTACATAATGCTTCGACTAATTTAATATATTCTTTTTCTGTACAAGTTTCAACTAGGACACATAAGAAAGCTTGACGCCTGTTATGTCACATGAAAGAGGATTTGTTGAAAATTTTTTTTTAAAAAAAAAAAAATTTGATTTCGAATTTACCTGTCAAGAGCCTTGGCGCATTCTCTCAATCCTCGGGCAAGACCGTCAAAAACAAGAGCACGCTTTAAAACGTCCTGAAGAGCTTCTTCGACAGTCTTTATTGAAGGAAAAAGATTAAAAATTAAATTAAAATTAAGAAATTAAGAGTTCTTGATCTAATAATTTCGATCATATCCTACCATTTGACCTTTAGAAGGAACAGTATCAGAAGTAACATGAATTTCTTCTTCTTGTTGATCTTCTACAACTTCATTTTCCGTTTCATCATCTCGGTCTTCGTCTACCATGGGTGGCATTTTCTAATTTTTTCTGATTGATATTTTTTTTTTTTTTTTTTTTTTTACAGGTATCAGACGTCCTCACTTTTTTTTATGATAAATTCGTGTAAATAAATAAATTCAAATCTTTTTTCTTTATAAAAAAATAAATGATTAAAAAAAAAGTAAATACTTACATGATGATTTTTTTTCTCTTTATTTAAAACGAGGTAATGGATGATGGACTTATAAAAAAAAAATTTAAAAGAGGGAGCAATTTAGATATTACGATCAATGTATTTATATGTTCACATGAGAAAAACTTTATTTCATCATGTGATATCTATCCTAATATACTGCGGATAATGAGAATCAGTCTATCAACTTTCTGATAAATGGCCAGAAAATCCTACGTATGCTTTTGAATTTTTCGGTCGTGGCATCTTTTAGACTATAGAAACTTTAAAAATATATATTGTAGCTTTATAAATAAAATTTTAAATTTACGATGTAAAAGTTATATTAGCATATGATATATTACATTTGCTTCAAAAATTATTCATAGTTTTAATTACTATTTACTTAATGTTATACCAAATTTGAACTGAGGAAAACTAATAAAAAATATATTGATATCTATCAAATATAACTAAATTTACAATAACAAAACTTTATTCAATTTAATAATTTATTTTCTTATTAATTATTATATTTAAAACATAAAGTAGTAAAGATTAAATCATTAAAAAGTTTAAATATCACAAAAAATTAATTAAACTATAAATTACCTTTTACAATTAACAAAATAAGCTTTAAGTTTTAAGTATAATAATTAAATAATTATTTTCAGATATTAGTATACTTTCTTTAATATATATAATCTTATATTCATTTTCTAATTTATCCTAATATTACCTATTTTCATAATCTACTTGTATTTTCATTATACTAATATAATTTATTGTTAGTTATTTTTTCTTTTAATAATATAATTATTTCTTTGGATATTCCTTGCTATTTATTTTTATATATTAAAATGATATAATTAAAGTTGCTTGTCTAAACTCATTTTGGATTTGGCAAAATGTCTAAACTATAGTTTTGCTAATTTTTACTAAGGTTTTGATATAGTTTTACATTTTATAAGCTTTGATATAGAATTACCTTTTTCAGAATTTTGCAGATTTTTTAATAAGATTTTAATATAATTTCACTAAATTTTATCTTTTTCCATTTAGAAGACTTGTAAAATCTTTAGGTTTTGTCTAGCAATCTTAAGTATTACAAATACATTTTTTCAATTATTTATTAATATTTTAATAATTTTTTTAACATTAGATAATTGAAAAATAATTTCTATATTTGAGAAATTACATTCTAATGATATTAATATATTTGTATTTGATAATACAATAAGTCATGCAGCTTATGCTAAAGATACTCTTATTGTATCACAAATAAATCTTAAACCTGATAGTAAAGGAAAATTTAAAGATAGATTAATGTTTGATGAATCAGTACAGTTAATGTATCTTCTAAATAAACAGCCAAAAGGTATTAAATTAATTTTAGAAGAACACAAATTATGATCTTAAAATCAATTGAAATATATTTATGATGATTACAAAAATACTTTTTAATTTCAGATAATTATTATGCAATTCATATACTTTTACTTTAATCTGATTTTTTAGCATAAAAACTATTGATTAAAGAGGTAATTGAAAATTAGGATATAAGATCATATTTTATTAAAAGTTTTATTATAAGCTTATTTTTATTAAGATATTCTAAGATGTAGCAAAATAATAAGCTTGTGACAATTGTAATTATTCATTTAAAATATTAGAAAAAATTATTCCATAAACATTAAATTCTATTTCTTTAAAATAAATTAAATAATATACTTATCATTCTTAGAGGTTTATAGATATATACAAAAAAGGTTTGTCAGGTATTGCAACTTTATATGCTATAAAATAGTATAAATCACATTGGTGGATTTCTGAAAATATAATATATTATGTAAATTCTTAATAATAAAACTATTAGTTTATTAAATTTTTTAAATATTAACCAATAAAATTTATTTTACGTAATTTAATTTTTATATAGAAAATTTGATTATAAAATAAAAAAGTAGTGAGTTTAGACTACATATATTATACTTAAAAAAATTTCTTTCTAAATCTATAAAAAATTAATTAACTTATTTTCATATTTTTCTTTAACATATCCTTATTTTAGAACTCATCAAATTTTAAAATATTTAATAATTGTCTATTAAAAAACTGACTTTGTATTATTTCTAAATTTTATAAATTAATTAGTTTTCTAGGCAGATTATCTTCAATTACAAATCTATAAATAGAAATAAGTTCTATATGCTATAATATAATTAGTTATTGATAAAAGTTATTATTAGTTTTATATTTTATTTACATATTCAGTTATCTGTTTAAAGATGTCATCAATAATTGCCTATTCAAATTATATTTTATTATTAACTTAAAACTCTTTAAACATCGCTTATACTTATTTTAGATCAAAATTTGAATTATAGATCAAATTCTTAATGTTAAAAGATGAGGTTAAATCTTTGTTTGAAGTTCTAGAGTCTAGATATAAAATACTAAATGTATAAATTACAAAAATAGTCTGAATAATGTAGATTATTCTTAATGGTATGAAAGTTGACAAGAAATTGAATAGAAGACTACCATCTATTTAATATATTCTATTATATTCATTAAAAAAAGAACAATACTTTTTTAGAATCTTTCTGACTTTTTTTTAATCTACTATTTTAAAAAATTATCAGCACAATTTATACTATACAGAATTTCAAGTATTCACTAGAATATTTATAAAGAGAGATATTAGTGCAAAGAAGTTTTTAATATTTTTGATAATATGCTTAAAATTTACACTAATTCAGATAATTATAAAAATATAAATAAAATAATAATTAAGAACTATATAAAAAATTTATCTAGTAAACAAAAAATAAAACTTACTAGTTACACATATATTTACTATTTTTTAATACTAATATTATTTTCATCACACATGTAGACTTTTCAGATGCCTGTGTTTCATATAATATTATAAAAGAATCTTTTTTAATTTTTTCAAAAAGTGAATTTTATTCTTATTATTATTTTTCTTTTACTATTGGATTCACAAAATAATTATTAATTTTTCATGTCTTTTTTATTGATTAACAAAATATTTAAAAATTAGATAATGAAAAACTAAGCAATATAAAGGTCATTTTATATATTCTTACCTCTTTCTAAAGTTTTTTTTTTTTTTTACTGAACTTTATTAGTTAAAAATGAAATAATATGAACACAATTATCAAAATCTAAGTCAAGACACATTGATCAAATTTAATACAACTTACTTATTAAGAATAGGTTGTTTTATAATAATGTAAATGTGTTTTTAAACAGATTTGATAATAGAAAATAGGAAAGATAAGCATAGAAATAAGTAAGTATTCAGTATTATTAAAGAATATGACAGAAAATATGAAAAAAATTAAATTATATCATGTTGACAAAATTTTTGACTCATTAGTAATAACAGTAAGAAGTTGTACAAGAATATACAAGTTTGTATTAACTTGTTACATATTAAAATAATTAGTAATTTTTGTAAATTGTTATCTATTTTTAGACTAATGTTAAAATCACCAAGTTTAAGTATTGAAATGACAGTCTTATCTCTAGTTTTTCTAAGAAAATATTAATTTTTATTCCTTTATTACCATGATACTTTTAAGATCATTATTAATAACTTTCTTAAGATTATTAATATTCTTACTAGTATTAATTTCAATTATAAAATTTTTATTATAAGGATCTGCTTTAAAAATCAAGCAGTTTTAATATTACAAAATTTATGAATATGATTGAATTTTTACTTATACATAAATATTATATAAAATTTACATAGAAAAATATATTTGAGTATAAGAAATGTTATATGATAGCATTTTAAAAACTTGTCAG